ATGTTTTTCCTAATATCTCCAGGCCCCCTTTCCCTTCCAGTCAAGCTGCGTTCCAGGTGGGGTGACATAGCGCAGCTCATAGCTACAGGCTGTCCAGGAAACTCGTGTCCTCTGTCCAAAAAAACATGTTTTGACCGCCTGTACCACATCTGGAGGGATATTTACCCCTAAGGCAATTCTGTTCTCTGGCTACATTGCACAATACTCTTGACAGGTTCTGTTTGCACACCCGGCAAAAGCAAAACATATTTTGTTTAAATGAAAGCAAGAAAAAAAGGTCATGTATATCGATTGTGCGTGATATACTCCTGAGAGCCTTAGATTTGGAACTGCTAAACGACCAAAACGGAGCTATCTTTAGTCATTCAATTCAAAAACAAAAGGTTACTTTATGGCAGCTATAAATGTGCTACTACTGCCACACAAAACCATTATGGCCTCAGCACTTCACAGTTGTTGTTACAGCCTGACATTTAAGAAGTGGGAGAATAATCAAACTTGCAATAAAACTGTTTTTGTGTATGATGATTAGTCAGCACCCTATATAAACTGCTTAATTGTTGCAGCAATCACATCTTTAACTCAAGTAACTTTATGTTTAATGCCCCTTTAACAGCGAGCTTAATAATTGACAAAGACTATAATTACAATCACTGAAACATTTAGTCTTTAATGAGAGGACATGAGCTCTCGCTAATCACCTCTTGGAGTCTGGCAGTACTCTACATGTGCAGCATAGTCGAGTCTTTCCTGCACCAAACCATCTGGAATGGGAATTTTGCTGTGTGTAATAAATGGGTGTGTATGCCACTGCTGCAGTCAGGACTGGAGCCCCGTGGCGATTCAGATTCTCTTTATTGTGCTTCTGCGCTCACTATCTGCTTCATCTCTCCTGTGTCTCTCCTGCATTGTTTGACCTTCAAGTGTGTAGAGAAGAAGAAGAAAGGTGAGACAGTCTCCGCCCGACATGTGGGCGTTTAGGCAGCTTTAAAAGCCGTCAAATTAGGAACACAATAGGACTGCAATTCTTTTTTTTTTTTCATTTGTTTTTTTTTTTTTTTTTCAAGTGGGGTCACTTTGTCCTTGTGGCCTTAAGTGTTGATACAAGGAAAGATGGGTCCACCATTAAATGTCTACAAAAACTTAAAATATGGCATGAAGAAGTCAAGATATTGAACATTTATAGAACAACAGGCAGAGTAACAGACATGGTAATGGGTAGGAGAACGGAAGAACCAGTGAGAACCAATGACCAACAGATCTGTTATATACTAAGGGATGGTGAATGCATTTAAAAATAAAAGATAATTATGGAGATTTTTTTTTTATTGTACAAATTACCTGCAGGAAAATGGGGACCCAAGTCTATTCTGTTAAATAATGTCTATCTTCTACTTGGATCAGTAGCTGGAGAACCTACAGTTAAACATATGTACCTGCATGTATTTCAGACTTGCACACTTCACAACACGTCTAACCAATACATTAAAAAAAATGACTATACCCATTGCTTTGTAAAGAAGATTAATATCATTTAGTTTTCTCCTGACATTATTATCTAAATATAAACTCTTATAATAGTTATGTTGAATGTATAAACTTTAAAGCATCACTGATAGAGATGAGATATTAGTTGAGCTGTGACAATTTGAGGTAGTTTGAAGGCCCCACAAATCAGGCGTTTTTTAGGGCCCCAAACAATCTTCGAGCGGCTCTGATGCCAGCATTTCTCATTTGTTGCTAAGGAAGTTCCTCCTGTTGTGCAGGAAACAGGGAGAGTGGTTTCCTGTTATGGAGAGAGGTTTTTTAAGAGCTGCATTCATTCGGCCCTACAACAGATGCTTGGTCAGGAAGCTGGGCCAGCAACAAAAGCTTTTTGCTGTCCTGGAGAAAGAGCTTTGGGAAACTGCTTTTAGGAATCCTTCTATGCATGGCCCTAGATCAGGAAATAAATTTGGACAGCTGTGAAAAAACAAAACATCTATTTTATTTCTAAACCTCTAAGAAAGCATAATTCAAAATATATTGATGTTCAGTCATGAGATAAGAATCAAGGTTAGCTGAGCAGCTTATGCAGCTGCACGGGTTTAAATAGTTATCCCTTGTATTTCAGGAGGTCAGACATGTGACACAACCATGGGACAGCTGTCATTTAAGAAAATAAGATTGTATTTCTGTGCAAAACATGGCAGCTTTAGCGGGAGCTGAATTTTGACTCATAGGTTGCCCAAATCCTTCATTCTAGTGGATTTGTTGCCCTTAAGCTCACTGTATTGTTGCTATTACACTATTTACACACATCTGTGTCATGCAAGAAGTAAAATCCAGTTTAAAAATTATGCAGAAGGCATCAGTTCCAAAATCCAGAGTTTGATATTTTAAATGATTTGTTATTTTAACCTATTCGGTTTTGTTAGTTCTGTCAGCTTGCATTACAGCAATCTGTAGTCGGAGCGCAGACGTTTTTAAGCATCAAAGGTGTCAACAGTATTAATATTTATAACTAAGGTAGAAGTATGAACTACTGCTTTAAAACACTTTTAGAGAAGTTAGAGTATCAAAATAAGCTTTTTACTCAAGTAAAAGTGTAAAAGTACAATTTTAAACACTACTTAAACTGGAACAATTTCTACATTTCTCGAATGATAACTTCCTCATACTTCATTTTCTTAGTTTTATCATAAATGATTACAGTGTCAAATTGAACTTTGCACTATCTTAAAAAACTATTCATTTTGGTATGTGATGAACAACAAGTTGGTGCTGTACAGAGTCTAACCACAAAGAAATTAATTGTCAGGATGAAATAAATTATTTTTATTCTTTTTTATTTGTATAAATACCAACAGGCCATAATGAGAATGAGCTTAAATGAAATAAAACTAACTTGTCAATTTTTAAAATGTGAGGAGTAGAAAGTAGAGATATTTGCAAAAAAAATGTAAGGAGTAGAAGTAAAAAGTTGTCTAAAAAATAATTACTCCAACAAAGTACAGATAGCCAACATTTCTACTTAAGTAAAGTAACAAAGTATTTGTACTCAGTTACTTGACAGCTCTTTTAAGCACCCACCTTTCGGTCTTTGATTTGCGTTTGATATGCAATATGCTTAGAAGGAACGGCCTCCAGGTGCTTAAAAACATGAGAGATCAAACTATTGCTTGCTATAATGCAAGCCGAGAGAATTGAGAAAGCTTGCACAGGCATGATGTGTTAAATATGCATGCTTAGGGTAACAGGTAGCACCTGTTAATTAAATTTCACATGTATTACTGTAGATGTTGCATTCCTCTAGGAAAACCATTTAAAATGGTTATACCATATATTTTTTAGAGGAAAAGACAGAAGTAAGCAGACATGAGTTGATTGGACAGACGAAACACGTAATAAAGGGTAGATAATTACAGGCTGCATTTGGAAAATAATCCAAATGCTTGGGAGTTGATACAAAAAGCAGAAACATGATTACTGAAAATAGTACTAAGACCATTATTAGGGTGACTGAAGTGTACCTCTAACTGTGAGTACTGTTTCAAGCTAAGACACCCATTTGAAGCCAAGAAACAAGTCTCCACTGTCCTATTTTTTTTTTAAACTGACACCACCTGAAAAAAAAAAAAAAAAAAAAAAAAAAAAAAACCCTGACTGGCAAACAGCTGAATATTTTACGGACTGATAAACGCAACCTTGGTCCTTTTGCGTCTTCAGGTGGGAGTCAGTTTATCAGACGGATCCCACACTGTTTGGAGCCTTTATCACACACCAGCGATGATAGATCAGTTTTTGAATTCATCAAAACACACGATCAGGCCATGTGGTCTTAAAGAGGAAATACAATAGAAATGGGTGTTTTAACAAGATAATGACTCCACACAGAAATATCAAGAAAAGGCAGAATCAAGCGATGCAGTGGAAGTGTGGACGGTGGTTTAAGTGTCCTGATTGTGCTGAGCTCCAAGCTGTTCACATCTATAGTCACCACCATGCAGCTTTCAGAGACAGAGACTGTTTTATTCAGGTTTTCAAAGTTTAAGCATATCTTTCAATATCTGTAGTAGCCTAAAAGATCAGTTTTTTAGAGAAACTTCAGTTTTCCACAACTCTCTCTGATGTGATTTTGATTTGGAATAGAATGTACAGTATTATGTGCATCAATGGAAATGAAAACGGATTATTTATGAGATTATTTAGGTATTTTAAATGTTAATAGGCTATTTAATTCAGACCCAAATAATGAATACATCTATCAGTGGGCGGTTCTAGACAGGGGCCGACGGGGGCCAGTGCCCCTGTAGATCATGTCGTGGCCCCTGTACTGAAGACATAATACTCAAAGAAATTCTAATGATGATTGCATTGGAACAGACATGTTTACTTTGGATCAATTTAATTTTTTTTTCTGTTCTACTTTCTGTTTTACTAATTATTTAAAAACAATAAGGTGATAGCTTCAGTGGTATTTATATAGGATTCCAGTTTCCCTCTATTAAATGTTTTTTTTTTATGAAAAGAATAGTCTAATTTTTACAGCTGATTTTATCAGTTTTTCTTGAGTTCTAATTCAGATCGTATAGAAAACTTAAATTTTAACTTAAATTAAGTCTAAAAATAGGTATAACTCCTAAGTTATGAATGTATATTAACCTAATAAGACATAGAATTTTAATTAAACCTAATTGAATAGAAATTTCAATTTATGCAGCTATCAATATATTTGAATCACTTGCCCTGTTTTTTTATTTCATGCTTTTCTGTGACCCCTATGAAAACACGCTGGCCCCATCATAGCCCCCTGGTATATTGGGTCTAGAACCGCCGCTGCATATATTCAAATGGATTGTATTTAAATCGCACAAACTTTATGGGATAATTAATTTTTTACAAGTGCAGATTTCTTTCCAGAGTAGGTGGGATGTAACGGTAGGGTTTGAAGTGAGTGGCTCACACTATCTCCGCTTTGCGCTCATGTCCAGCCTCAGGAAGCCCTGAACAGCACCTCCTGTTTCCACACAGGAGCGCACCAGTGCGCTGGAACATCACGCGTGGGGAGAGCTCAGCAACCCGCTGCGCGAAGAGAAAAACACCTTGCCAGATCGGTCTCCACCGAGGCGGATGTCTCTGCTGTCAAAGCTTGAATTCATCTCAATGATCGCAATGCGTTTGGATTGAGTTGGCGCTTTTTGTGGGAGGAGGGGGTCTCCATGTCTGTGCGGGGAAAATGAGGACAGCCGTCGGTTTCCGTGGATGATGATGTCCCACAATGAACGCAGGTTGGTTGGAAGCAACAAAAATGATGTTTCTGTTTAGAAGATCAACTTTTAATGATTTGGGTTGGAGTTTGGCTCAGTTTACACACCAGAATGATTGTGAAAGTTATTCTTATCTTTTCTATTATTAGATTTTACTATTTCTGTTATTATATATAAACATTTTCAACAATTTAGAGTGGCTATCAAAGAAAGACAACATAGTTGACTAATTTTACAAGTCATAGAAAATGTTTATTTATTTATTTTTTTTTTTGAAACATTGAAATAGGAGGATTCTGAATGGTGTTCATGTTTGAGTGTTTAATATCCTGGAATAATACTCAAATCCTTGGAATAGGTCTCAATACTCTTCCTCTCTGTGGAAATAATGGAGAGAAATTGGAAGAGGGGGCTTTATGGTTAGATTGCAATATTTTAATCCCTTTGTAAGAAGTAAAATGAGCTGAACTGAAGGGGGGTTGTGTGTTTTGAAGTCAGCTGTACAAATAAAAAAAAAGCTATTGAGACAGACTTGATCTGATCTTTTATTTAAGTATATTTCCTTTATATTTTCTAAGTGTACACTTTTGTGCATTAGAATTAAAATTACATATCGAATGTTTTAACTGCAAATGATACATCTCATGGAATCAGAACCTGTAATGATTAAATCAAAGTTTGTTTGGCATTTACATCTCTTTGTGTTTGTGAATATTTTTTTGCCTCAAAAATTAAGAATAAAAAGATCACATAAATATTGATACAAATTGCATTACTTGTACAAATGATTTATAACACTTCTGCAAAATGTCTAGTCTCCAGGGCCCCCTACTGGCGTGGAGACCTTAACCAGCTGCTTATATCACCTATGCCTTTGACCAGCTCTGTTTTTTTCCTCATATAAAAAAAAAATGCATCCAACTTGATTAAGGCAGGTGCTTATGGTTTGACGGGTGACATTCAAAATCTAAAAACAATCTTAGATCATATCCTGTAAGTTTGACACAGTCAAGGTTCCAGTGTCTGTCTCTTCCTTTTGTTTTGTAAACGTTTGTTTTAATTGAATTCTTGTTGCATAATTCATATCCTGTTGTTGGCAGTTGGCTGCTTTGTAAGACTGTGACTCTTGTTTTTTTCAAACTTGCTTTATTGTTCTTTGGTGCACTCAAAGAGTCCTTTTCAGAAAGAAAAAAAAAAGCATGCGGTTATGTGTTGGTTTCTCTGTTCGTGAGAATTGTAAAAGAATGAGGAGAAGGAAGTCCATTTGTGCTGTGAAAATGTGAACTCCTCGAGAGGTTTATGGCAGAGTGATGGGGGTCTTCACTATTAATGCCCCTCCCATTGTAAATATCCTGTTTAGATTTCTTCACCAGAGCTCAACCGGAGCCAATATGGTTTAAATGAAAAGCAGTGTGACTTTATAAAAATAAAATGAAATGTTTTTGAAAGCGTTTTATAGAGCGATCATAAAGGGTTTTCAGTAGTAGAAAAAAGAAAGGCCAAAAACATGAAAAAGAGCAAGGAAACACTGAGAACTAACTAGAGGGCAGACAGGGTTTAATAGGATATGCGTCAGGACAGGTACTAAATAACAGGAAAGGACCAGGGGTGTACACACTTTGTTAAGAACGGGTGTGTTTCATGACAAGTCTAAATTTGATCAACAATGTTTGGTACTGAGAATACATTTTTCAAAGGGAAATCAGCGTGAGATTGTTTCCAAAGTGAGGTAAACGGAAAATATCAGTCCCCTTATCTGTAGTCAATTGGCTTCTTATTATAGCAAGCTTTGTAAAAAGTAAAAAAATTCTCTAAGTAGTGACAGTTAACAGTTTGTAAGATAAACTGCCAGCAAAGCAGATTTTTTTTTTTTTTTTACTGAATTTTGACTTTAGGAATACAAATCCTCTCAAGCTCATTATCTGCATAGTCACTGAAATTGTGTACAGAATTTCATGAGACTTTTGATGCAGTTTTTTTTTTCTGTATACAGTCCATGCTGCTACATTAAATAACATCAGTAGAGGCTGTAATATTTAGCCATATCAGCTGGAAGTTATCAGTCTATTCTAACTCTGCTTATAGATGATAAAAACCTTTCTATTTTGCAATAGTTTATCAAATATGATCAGTAATAACTGAATACCACCCTGGAAGAGGCCCTAGTTTTGCACATTATACATATTCCGTCGTGTCAGACTAAGGCAACATTCACACAAGGCTGAAAACTGCATCTGTACAGAAAAGTTTTAGAGTAAAAAAATATATATATATATATATACATAAATGGAGGCCTGCAGTGGACAATTGTTTTTCTGTGTGTTAGCATATGCAGCTTGAGGCAGCATTGAGTCCCATCTTTCTTTGCATGTATGATCCTGGAAACTTATAGCCTGTTTAACATTTAGATCTGTCTGGACAAAGAGTTAAACACTTTAAACTTTCCCAAACTAGGAGCAGGTTTTCGATGTAGCCAGTTTCATAGATGCTTCTTTAGGAGGGGACTCCCTTACTGACCAAGAAGATTATAGAATATGCCCTGAATCCAGATTTGTCATGATGGGCCTAAGGTGTCCACCTTAGGCCCATCATGCTAGACATGCTAGACATGCTAGACATGCTAGACATGCTAGACATGCTAGACAAGCCCATAGACATAGAACATAGACATGCCCATGATGCTAGACAAGCATCCCAAAGGCTTTATTTGCATTTTCTTTTCTATGTTCAGTATGAATTCAGCTTTTGAAACTTGAACTAGAGATGTCCAAATGCTCTTTCTCAGCTTCTATTTTTCAGATCAAATACCGTCCAAATTCTTTTAAAAATGATCAATAGCACTATAGTTAAAAAAAATAAATTAAGCACTTGTACCAATCCCTGGCAAATGCCGCCCGGGCAGTGAGCCATAACAACTTTATCAAAGACTGGCACTGTGGAGGAAAATATTTATGTGCATTTCCAGAAGTCATTTGGAATTTCTCTACAGCAGGCCTATACTGTATAGTCAGCTACTAAGTGGACTGATAGGGCCAGCAGCCTCTGCCAGCGTTACATCATGTATCGATACCAATGTTGTTCAGTGAAGGAAACTGCAAAACAAAAAACCTCTAGTTGACTTTAAAAAAAATAATTATATTAGTTTAGATGCCAACCCCCAATCGCACCCCACCCACTAGCCATTAGCTTCCCTCTACATCAGTTCATGTATAGTAATACCCCACCTTACATCACACCTACTCACTCAGCAGACCACAGCAGCTCCCTAAAATAAACTCACTCAAACCAGACTCAGGTTCACATAGCCATACTGAGCCCCATTAGGCACACAGCTTTTCCTGCCCTGAAAATTTTAGCATATCTACAGACACTTTCAAAAAAGGACAAAAACATTATTTTAACTAAAGCATTTTAATTATTTTATAGTCTGTTACTATTTTAAATTTTATTTTTGTATTTAATAATTGTTTTAAAACTCCCATTTGCACTTTAGATTTTAAACTTGTTGTATAAAATAAAATGTATTATTATTATTATTATTATTATAACTAAAACTACAGTGGAAACAAATTTATTTTGTGAATGCATTTGCTAAAAAGGTTTTAATAAATAAAAATGTTATATATCCCATTCTAGTTAAATATCCTATATCTGTCTGTCAACATTTCCCGTAGGGAAATGTTATTGTTCCTCCTCTAAGTAACCAAAGGGTTGTTTTTCCTGCTAATAATGGCCCCTGCAGCTTTCTGCTTGTTGCTGACATAAGCAGTTGGTAGCTTTTAAAGGGATAGATCAGGATGTTCAACAGATGATCTGCTGTTCATCACTGAAACTAAAAGTAAGTCCAAGGGAGCAGGGGGTTGGGATTATGGACCAAATGGACTTCAATCAATGAAAAACAACTATAGATGTTTGGCTTTTGCTAATATATTTTACCAGTTATTAACCCGTTTCAATTTCTGATGTAAGTTACACATAAGCTGATGATTGTTCACTTTCAAAAAGTAACAAAGGCTGAGACACTGGCATGTAACTATTTTAAAAGCTGATGATAATCTACTTCCCACAAAGTTCTTGAATCTCCTCTAACTGAAGAGTTTAAGGTTATACAGACTTAATTATTGGGAGTTATTCTCATAGTTAGTTTAATGGATGAGAACTGTTATGGAAATAAGGGCCCTTTCATATACAGCTCCCTTTGCTTTGAGCCAGCTGCAGAAAGACCTAAAGCTTCATGACTTGGTCTCACTGGGTGTTTTTAAGAACATGTTGGAGGTTCTGCTGATTTCTTGGCCAGAATACCTTTGAAACGAAGATTATCTTTATATTAATTTATTATTTATAAGCTTCTGCTGAATTAACCACCCAAATGTGATTAGTGTTAAGAGAAAATATATTGGATGTGGTTGTATACAGTCAAAGTCCGCTTTGATGTTGGTTAAAACAAAATGACATGGACTAAACTAAGACACAAAATTAATTATTTACCAGGGATAAGGCATGACCTGTTCGCAACTTTTTAACACAACCTAACATAAAAAGATATGAACTATCCAATAAAGTCTTTGCTAAAGTCTGAACCACATTTTTTATTATGAAATTATTTTTTGGTTAAAATATATATATAATAAACAATATAAATATATATTGTGGGATTTATGTAATGCTAACTGATTTTCTCTCATTTTCTTTGTACAGAGTTTCAAAATCCACTGCAAGTCCCTCGACCAAGGGTCCGCAGTCACTTGACTATCAAAGTGCAGTCAAAGTTGACATCGAAATCATGGCCCCCTGTCCATGGCCTGAAACCTCCTGTCGCCCCCAAACCCAGACCTCTCTCTCAGCCTCACCTACAGGGAAACACAGACTATCAGCAGAGACTCAGCAATGGAGAGCTGTCTCACTCTGATGGAGAGATGGGGGATCTCCTTGAAATCTCTGAGGAGAATCACAATAAAGAAGAGAGAAAAGAGGTGGAGGGAGGGATTACTGACAACAATGCAAGAGAGAGTGACAAAGAGGACACTGAAGGTGGAGATACTATGGTGGAAAGAGACAAAGAAACAGAAGTATTTGAAAAAGATGCTGATGTGGACAGCATAGCATCAGATGACACGATCAAGGCGGATGATTTGATTGACATCACAGAGGAAGAAACAACCGACAGTGACTCCGTTCAGCCTGACGGTAGTGATCACACTGAAGATGAGAGTACAGTAATGCTAATAAATCCTCCAACGGAAACAGAAATTGAGGAAGGAGAAGGGGTAGATAAAATCAAAACTGGCTATGACTCTACAAAGCACATAGATGAACACGAGGAGCCACATCTTGACCAAACACAATCTTCTAATGATTGTTGCGCAAACGATGATCTTGGACTAAATGAAACCACTGAGCTGCACAGTGACTTTTTCACAAATGAGTCTGAGTTGGAAAATGGCAGATTTGCATATGGATTCAGCATGCTTCCAACCGTTACTGAGGAGTATACCTACGATGTGATCGGCCCCACAGATGATGCCAGTGATACATGTGAGTCATGTGACACAGTGGAAACAGGGGACGCAGAAGTCTGGCAACCAGAGCGAGCTACCAAGGACCTCTCAGGGTGTTTTCGATTCACATCCAGCACAGAAGATGTTTTTGGGCCTTATTCTGTAATAGAGGCGGTTCCAGGAGATATGAGTGGCACTGCTGATCCTGAGTGGGGCCCTGGAGAGGAAGAAAAATCTTCATCAGCAAATGAAGCTCAAACGCAGGATGCCTTTGACCAGGAACCTTACTATGTGTCATCAGATGATGTGGACAAGCTTGAAGAGGCACAAGCCAACTCAGAAGAGCTCCGTATTGAGGAGGTCACAGAGCAATCTTCTCAAAATAAAGACAAAGCTAAAGACAATGAGTCAGCAGATGAATACGCTGACATTGATAATTCAGTCTGCCTAAAAGATGAGAATGTTGAGCAATCTGAATGCGTGTCATCAGAGGATTATGTAGAGATAGGTGATGAGGATGAGGAAGAGGAGCAAGAAAAGAAACATATCAGAGTAAAAACTGCAAAAGAGAGGACAGCTCAAAGGGAGCAAGCTTTAAGCGGCCAGAGAAAAAGCTGTCAGCCTCGTCTCAGATTGTGCAACATCACAGTGCCAGCAGACTTAGACCTTGGCTGCACCCCGGAGCTCACCAACAGGGTGGTGTTTGCCCACACAACCGAAGCCTTTGAAGAAGACATTGAAGAACTGGACTGCCATATTGTGCCTTATTATGAAGACACGGATTCAGACAGCGATGAGCATATTTATGTAGAGGTTGGGTTTGAATCAGAAGGAGAGAATTTCATGCCTTTTGACCGAAAAACTATAGTTACACGATCACGGTCCTATTCTGGAAAGGTTTCAAATTATGTTCCAGAAACCGTACCAGAGGAGACAGGGACGGAGACTCATGACTACTGCACTGTACCAGAGGACAAAACCAATGAACCTCTTAGTCCTTCACCTCAGCCAACAAGTAATTGCATAACTCCTTCTACAAAGTCTCGTCGCTTCTTGCTTTCTTCACGGTCTGCTGATGGTCCAGAATTATCCTTTTTTACCTCAACAGAAAATGACCAGTCACATAAGAATGATATCAGGATAAAGAGAAAAGATGACACACTTTCCCTTCCATGTGTCATAACTTCCTCTGGAAGCTTCTCCCAGCGAAGTCATCAGTCATCAAGTGGTGTTTCTACACCAACTTCTCTAGCAGACATACCTCCACCTTTTGAGCTGGTCCCAATTACTAAGAGACCTGTTACCAAAAGTTCACCATCCCTCTTGATACAGCATGAGGCAAGCGAGACACCCAAGAAGAAGAAGTCTTCATTTAAGCGTTTTTTAGCATTCAAGTTTAAGAGGAAGACAGAGTCTAAAGGTTTCAGTGACGGAAGTGTACGCTCTTCACGATCGTCCTCTGAGTCTAGCCATCATGGCATGAGAGTTGTTGACCTTGATCGTCGCAGTAATGGTAGCTCATCTCAGCTTCAGTCCACCATGGTCAACCCCCAGCAGCATATATCAAACCATCCATCCTCTTTTATTCTCAACAAAGATCACCAGAGGAGGAAAGGAGACCTCAAAGCTGATGGCAAGACCGTCTCTAGAGTGGAGTCCTTCGAGGAGCGCTCTCGTCGCTCCATTATGCCACTTCCAATGACCAAACCTCGCTCCATCTCTTTTCCAAGTGCAGATACCTCAGATTATGAAAACATCCCAGCAATGAGTTCTGACTATGAGAACATTCAGATCCCAGGAAGACCCACCAGATCCCACACAGTTACAGAATTTTTTGAAAATCCGAACCGCACCATAGTTGTGTCCAATGAAAATGATGGCTATGTAGATATGAACAGTTTCCCTGGGATTGACAGCAAGCCGTTGACATCGAAAGCAGACTCTGAAAGGTAGGAACAAAGTATAATTTTCTGATTTCCTCTTACCAATCTGACTGTGTGATATTATCGAATTGGCTCTGTTAAGATGATGTGTTGTGAATTCCTGCTATATAAATAAACCAAATTAAAATTTATTGAATTTCAACAGCTGCAAAAAGATTAGTTCAAATTAAACTCAGTATCTGGGGTAATGGGGTAAAAAGCGCCTTTCTTTTATATAAAAGCCTGTTTTTTTAGGTTTTTACAGAACAATGTAACGTCCAGTTTAGTAATCATTTTGTGTGCTCTAATTACTTTAAAAATGTTATCTATCTAGATATTTCTTACAAATACACATTTTTCAATATCAAATGGATTTCTTAACCTTAAACATTTGATGATTAGGCATTTATGGTCATATTCTGTATGCATTATTAATGAAAGACAAGGTAGAAATGCCCAAAAAATACTTGAATGTCACCATATATAAAACTCCAGGTTTATATAAAACATAATTACTAATTTGTCGTTAATCTTCTTAATTAAAAAAAAAATGTTTTTGTAGGTTATTTGTAGGAACCATGTTAAACAAAGGTTTGTACTCTAATAATAATTCAGGTTTTGGCAAAGTTGGCCATAGGTGTATGTTTGGACACCCCTGTAAAAAAATATCTAAATCCACCTGGGAATGTGTGAGCAAATATTTTTCTATCCTTTTTCACTCTTGCTATTATGTTCTTCTGTTGTGGATTTTTTAAGTTTTTTGTTAGTTTTACAAAGGATTTAACACACAATAGTAACCTTTTAAAAGGCCTCATCATACCACAAAATATTTCCTCAAACATGTTGAAATTGGTCTTCACTTTAGTCAGCGAGGGTTTCAGGCTTGTCAGATAGATCCCGTATTTGCCCAGGCTTTTCTTACTGTTTATTTTTGAAGGTACACTTAACCTCTTAACATCCACCTAATTTTGGGAAATTCTCGCCTATTTTGCTTACCCAAATGGAAAAGCAAATAACTGTAAGCCCAAATTACATATGCAATACATTATTTGAAAACTAAAAATCTCTAGTTTCTGAATATATGAATATAAATAAGTGCCAATAAAATTGGGTGATTAGAACACAGACCAAGTTGCATGTGTTCAAATATGACTCAAAGCTGTTTTTTTTATTCTCTGAAATGACAGGTCTTTTTTGAACTGAGCCAAATGAGGCTTTACTTTATTAGCTGTTGATTAGCCCTTTCCTCTTAGAATGGGAAATCGTATTTTGCATTTAGTTTAGTTATCTTCATATGGCATTTATTTGATTATTTGAAACATTTACAAATGACAAACAAAAAAATAAATGAATAGCACCCCATTGTGTAGTACAGTCAAGCCCCTTGAACAGGTCGGCAAATACAACCTGATTGAGTACAGATGGATCTCTCTTATTGGAAAGTGTCCTGTGTGAGAAACAAGCAGCCTGCTGGGTTAGGCACCAATGGCTTCGGAAAGATCAAAAGCTCTTCTGGGAGAACACATCCCTCTTATTTATTTTCTTTTTACTTGGATCCAGAGGTCAAATCTGGTTTTGCTGCTTCCATGCAAGACTGATTTAGTAGATCAGGTACCGGCAGGCAGTAAGGTAGCTCACTGAGTGCAGCTTCTGCACATTAGCAAAAGTCATTATGGATGCAATTAAAAGTGACAAAATGGGTGAGGGGGTTCTTTCACACATCGAAGTGGCGGAGGATAAGAGAAAATGTGAGAGCACCAGAGGAGAGAAGAGTGTTAATAGAAAAAGGCAGATCAATATTAAAAACAAGGTTTGTAGTGATAAAGTAGAGTATTGGATTGCCTTGTATGAACAAAGAAAAGACAATAGAAGCAGTTCTAGTGTAATTCCTCTACTATGCCATGCACTAGTGTTTAGGAGGTTTTTTATTAAAGTGGCTCTCTCCTGAGTCCTTCCCTTTCACTGTACTCTTGAGGATCTGCAAGGTTTACTGCAGTGTGTGATGGAGTGGAGAATCGCCACATTGAGACTCTACAAAAACATCCAGGCTGTGATTCAGTTACTCTAGAAAATAGCATTTAGTTTAACCTTTTCTTGTCCTTTGGTTCCTTCATTGTTATTCACACATTATTATTAAAGTACCATTACAAATGTCAATATCACTGTCTTAGATTATGATAGCATGTAATAAAACAAAAAAGTGGCATATAACTACAAACAGGATAAAAAAAAAAAAAGAAGAATTGCTTATTCTTCCTAACAGTCACATTGGATGGAGATCATATGTGAACAGTATTTTTAAAGTCTTGTCACAGATTCTCCAATTTATTTTAGGACTGAAATTTTACTTGGACCTTCTGACAGATTGATTTGATTCGATGACATTTAGGATTGTGATCTCAGCCCTAGTTTTAAGTCTTTTTTGAGCCTGTGAAATATTTTGTCCATTATTATCCTGCATTTAGTATTGTTGCCTATCCATGCGTCTCTTTAATGCTCTCTATTATGGCTGAAGAAAAGGGATCCCATAATATGATGCTGTCAATACCATAGGATAGTATATTTAGTGTGATGTGCAGTATTCAAAGCACTTATCATGGCCAAAAGATAAGTTTCGGTCTCAAATGACCAGAGCATCTATTTCCAAATTTTAACCCTATCTACTATTTGTTTTACTGGGAGTTATTGTGGTGAAATTTTATGAAATCTTGCCTTGCAGCAAGAAGGTTCTGGGTTCAATTCCTGGCTGGGGGGTCTTTCTGCATGGAATTTCCATGTTCTCCCTGTGCACGTGTGGGTTCTCTCCAGGTACCTGGGCTTCCTCCCACAGTTCAAAAACATGACTGTTAGGTTAATTGGCTTCTCTTAATTCTCCATAGGTGTGAGTGTGTGTTTGAATGGTTGTTTGTCCTGTTTGTCTCTGTGTTGCCCTGCGATAGACTGGCGACCTGTCCAGGGTGTACCCCGCCTCTCGCCCATTGAGATAGGCACCAGCACCCCTAGCGACCCCAGTAGGGATGAGCATGTCGGAAAATGGACGGATGGATTTTAGGAAATTTCAGTGTCTGGATGACCCCAGAGTCTATGTTGTTGGTGTTGGGGATCACCCCTCCCAGGGATTCTACTATTCTGCTGGGGGTCTCCTACCCATGTTGGAAACAACAGTTAAACCTAAGGGGTGGGATCGGGAGGAACGGACCCCCAGCTCTGAACTCGAGGGGTGTTTCATTGTAGGAGCTCTATGCAACCTACGTAGTGTGGATTGTGGTGAGGGTCTGCAGGGAATGTCTGGTGAAGCCCTTGGTCAGGGTTGTGTTCAACTCCCACTTCTGGGAGAGCTTTATCCGCAGGAGGCTGGAGACATGGAGTCTAAGTAAGCCATGTTCTCTGCCTCTATTGCCGATGTGGCCCGCATTGCTGTGGCATAAGGTCTGCAGTGCCTGTCGTGGCAGCAATCCCCAAATTTTGTGGTAGAAACTGGCATTAAGGGATGCTGTCAGGCTGAAGCAGGAGTCCTATCGAGCCTAGTTGATTTGTGGGACTCCTGAGGCACCAAGCAGGTATTGTGAGGCCAAGAGTTCTGCTGCCCAAGCAGTTGCACAGGCAAAAGGGAGTTTGGAGAGGCCTTGTACTTCTCACATATTTATACTGATGCTCCAGTTTGTTTTGCTCCATTCCAGATAACCTCCCAAAATGTACTGCCATCAGCAAATTGCCAGTGAGTCCAAGATGTATTCATACTGTTTCAAGGCACTTTATGTGTTTTAGCCTTCTGAACCTTACCTTTAGTCAGAAGATCCTTATCCACCCTGTGCAGACACTTTATCTTCTAAAGATTGAATCAGTGCACCTTGTTTTGTCATTCAGATTTCACGCCAGTAAGAAGAATGCCAAACCTATCAGTCTATCCTGCTTCTCTTTACCCACATTCCCACCATTGGGGCTCATGTTACTAGGACCACTGAAACGCCGCAGGGCAGATATTAATGTTTAGGTTTTATAGGGCATATATTTGTGCATGAGTGTACTAACTGCAATACCCTTATAGTGTTTCTATCCTTTTGTGAGTAGATATTTAATATAACCCTTCAAATCTTGACGCTGCTGCAGTCCCAGACCACCGATATGACGATGACAGTGATTTATTAAGAATGCATTCAAGGCAGCATGGTCAAAGACCCTCAGAGTAACAAGTTGATTTTTGTGAAAGCAGCAACTGAATAGCCTCAGGGAGCTGCTCTCAATTGCCTACAGCCACAGACATGCATTTTAAGGAGAGTTACAAAGCTGCTCTCCACCATGGTTGCCCTGTTTCTCGTGGTGTGATTAATGTATGCCAGCATTAAGATGCCACATTAGCACACACTTTCAGTCTAAGTAAAGAAACATGGTCATTAGCAACACACTAAAGTGTGGAATGCGTAGAGAATGTGTGTCATTATTTCCCAATCCTAAACAAGGTGTTTATATGTGGGTCTGTGAATCACATACCGTATGCATATGTGCAAGTGGTCAAACCTGCAGCTCTGTGCTGTTTTATCTAAAAAATGATGCTCTGGGTAAAGATGCTAGGTCAGCAAAAGTGTTCAACTGAAGCAGCAGCATATAAAGACACCACAAAGAAATATAGGAAAAAAACAGTTAAAGAAGAAAAGTTTGAGATTCTGTGATTTTGCGCAGCTAAGATGGTATTTTTTGTTGTGGTGCTGCTAACATCTTGCATCTTCAGTTCAGCAAGAATCTCTTTAGTTTGAATTATGACAAAGCCTTGGTATGGCCTTTAAAACACCGCCTACACCCACTGTTTTTTTAGCATTAGTAGTGATGAGGGAGCCATCTTAAGTACATTGTTGTTCTGGGTGGTATGCAGTGCGGTGGGCAGGGTGTGTCTCTGGCTAGCCAACACTGGTGCCAGTTGCTCTGAGGTCATTAACAGGTCATCCCAAGGGAGGAAATAGCCAGCCAGGAGCTTCCCACCAGCCTATTTACAGGAAATGCAGGATAAGGGTGAGGTGCTGGTGGAAGGTAGAGAGGTGTAGAAATTATATGACAGGTAGGATGAAATGGGGAGGGATGTTTTTTTTGTGTTGGGTTGAGGGTTTTGCTTTCCTGTGAACAAAAATAGGTGCGGTCTAGTCAGGAATGCCAAGTCTGCTGTCGCTGTTGCTTGAGATTACCAACAACTGCTGCTTTTTCTTCTCAAATACAAGCTAAAAGATTTATGGGTGTTAGATTTATGATGTTAAAGAATGACTTTATGTCGGCTATAATTTGCCAAATCAAACAGTTCAGGGTTTAAGTTAAATCAGTTGAACTGAACTAATTGTCATCTGGTTTAAATATACTAGGTAAACTCGGATGAATGTTTTAACTAACAAAAATACACTCCTGTGTTCTTTACTATAGAATAAGGAATGTTATTAGCAGTTGAAGAAGTAATTTTAAAATCTGCAGCTAATTCCATGTAAAACATGGGCAGAAACTGAATTGGAATATCAGATATTGATTATGAATTGCCCACAGTGAGTCTGTATTTACAAAATTCTTAATTAAATGTATTGGTGTGAAACTGAATTTTACTAAATTGAAACTGATGATGTGAAAATTGATAAAAATATTATTTAATACATTTTTCTTGAAGCTCTATTTTATGGGATTGAAAATAGAGGATTGAAAATTGGAAAACCCCTTTTTCCTAAAATAATATTTTTATTATTGTAGAAAAATAATTGTTCCTAAAATCATACATTGGTATGTATTATAAACCGTAGCCATCTTTTTAGCTTTTTTTATTTTGCTTTCTAGTCCAATGTAAATTGGCTTTGGAGGGCAGGCATTATAAGCTTCTTGCTTCTGCCAATACACCCTTTTTTCAGACTGTTTTAATTTATGTTATATAGATATATACTGTCATTATTATATACTTGTATGTCTGAAATAAAAAAAAAAAAATTTTTGGATCATTTTAATTTAAATTCCTGAAAAGCTTCCTACAGTATGCAGCTGCATTTAGACCTGGAGAAGAGGAGCCAACAGGAGCATGGTGGATGCATCATGTAAAATGACCATCAGAAAAACTCTCACTTCTGTATTGATTGACTGATCGACTATATTGATTTCACAGTGGAGAAATGTACTCGTTATATCAGCTCAAACGGTCAAAGAAGAAGAATGTGCCAAAGGAAGAAGAAGGACAGCTCTTTTTTTTTGTTTTTCTTAATACTATGATCATTATACAAGGGTATAACACAGGTTGTTTACATGGGTATTTAGATAGATGGATATTAAATTTATAACTTGCATGTCAGTTAAACAAATCATGGGCTAAATGTGCAGCTGCTTCTTGTTCCTGTTTGCTTAAGACCCCAGATTAGCATAGTGTGTAGTACGTATTGTATTGTTGTTGTTGTCTTTAAGACTACATACCATATTAGCAGTCATTATAGGAAAACCCCTATTTGCTTTTGTAGACAGTTTGTTTGCCTGAAGTTTCTTCTGCATGTCATAAATTTAATACAAACCTGAGAGTTTTGCTGCCTGTCATTTTTGACTTGATGTGAATCTTTGTGTTCAGTTATTCTTTTCTTTCTCTAGGATGTGGGAATTTTACAACTGAAATTGAATTCTAAAACTGAAAGGGAAATGAGTTAAACTTAATTTTCAATGCAATAAAATGTAATTTCAAATACAATTAGTTCAGTTTGAAATCATTAAACGCTAAGGATGTGCCAAAATGAAAATATCGGCCGATAGTAGTATCAGATATTTTTAGAGCTGTTATGGTCCATAATCAATGACTCATCTTGCCAAAAGGTTTTTTTTCTCCATTCCAGGAGGCAGCTTGCCTCAGCATTGGGTCTGTATGCTGCTAAAAGATGAACTTCTATCCTTGTCTTAAATTACAAATTTTCCTTACTTATTTTAAGACCTCCTCAGTCTTCATAGACTAATACGTTTTGCTTAGTGGTGGTACTGTCATTATTTTTATGTTTTTGAATATTTAGATTTTTATTATATATATGTATTTGTTTCATCCCTGTAAGTTATATTTTCTAGTTTATATTTTCCAGAAACAGGTCAGTGCCGCTGCAGGACTGCTTGGCCCCTGTTATGGCTCTTGAACTAAGAACATAAAACTCAAAGAAATCTTATGATGATTCCGCTGGCACAGCCACACTAACTGATTGGACCCTCTGATATATTTCATTTTCACGTTTCGGGTTATATTTCTACTATGATAGAAAAAATCCAGGTGACACACTTTTATTTTTAGTCATATTAAGACAGGGTCACATTTTTCATTTGCAGCTCACTTAATATGTTAAATGATTTAGTATTGCCCTGTTTTTACTTTTTAACACTATTTTTTTATTTTGCCGGCATGAAACAAAAACTGGCACCACCCTGGTGAACTTAGTCTTGAATCACTACTGACATTTTCTGTTGTCTAGTTTATTAGTTATTTGGCTCAGACACTAAGAAAAACAGCAACTGATACTGCTACCAATATGTGAAGGTAATGCATGCAGATTGTTTTCATGATTTTATTCATTAATCTTAACAGACATTTTGAGCTGTCAATCAGTGCAAGCAGTCACCTTAGTGATCTGGCTGTTGACACTCCTGGAGCTGAGATGAGAAGTTTATAGTTTGGAAATAAAAAGCGGCGGCCTAGTGGTTAGGGCATAGAGCTTGGAATCATGAGGTTCTGAGTTTGAGCCCCATTTCCTGACAACAATTAAACCCACACTGCTCCCCGGGGCGCCCCACAATGACAGCCCACTGTTTCCCAAGGGGATGGGTTAAATGCAGAGGTAAATTTGTAAGATCAATAAAAATGTGAGATCAATAAAGTTAGATTATTATTATTAAAACTCTAAAAATATAGAGTGTACAGTCTATATGTTTACTTTCTGAAGGTTCCTTTACTTCTACTATAGTGATTAAAAAATAAAAAAACAGGTAAGGTCATTCTCTCCCTTAATGTGTTGCTGATTGATGTCTGATATTTCTATTTAATTTTTTAAATTTTATGTGAGATTTTTAGGTTATCTCATTTTAAACTATATCTGTCATAAAATAAAGTCAGGAAAGAAACTTACATTAACAAAGCTAGCAATTTCACAGAGAAGTTGTTTATTCAATCCCTTTGTCAAAGACTAATTCATGTTCAACTCTAGAAACACCACAGGCTTTTACCAAAAATCAAATATTGAAATGATACAATCCTCAGCCCTAAGCTGCAACCCACCATGTAGTAGAAATGTTATTATTCTTAATCTATCCCAATCCGACCACATGTAAAATGGCAGATATCATAAAGACAACTCATTTTCCACACAGTCACCCCCACAGCAGACAACACATAACCTTCCTCAATAAAAATAACACTGCAACACTGCCTTCATGTTCCTAATCCCCCATTAGCGTCCCATTCTTCTACAGTTAGCAAGCCAATGAACCAACACTATTAGCCTATTTTTGTCATAATGGTGCCATTATAAGTAGAAAACGCCTTCTTCTAATATATATTTTGATACGGAGTGTTTACTTCAATTGAATTACGTATTACAAGCACCATCACATTTCTGGAAGGCTTGTGGAGTACATCTCTTTTACCAGAGTCATTGTGCCTGCCTTTAAATTTGCCACAGTAGATTTAACTTTGTTGTGTTATCAACACAGTCAGCTGGCATAATAACTTTGCTTTAATAGTGTTTTCAAGAGGCTTCTATTTTGCTGTTCTCCAACCTAATTTTTTTCCTAGTTTTACAATAATGGAATAGTAATGCCAGCCTGTTTTTCAGCTATCTGAACAACATCTTTGTTGAAACAGTCTTATGAATAATGAAGGACTGTGATACTGTTTTACGTTGAAGATGAAAATGTGAAGGTGAAAGTCCTCAGAGAAGTTGCTCTTGGTTATTTGATAGATGATACAATAAATCAGAGCTGCAGAAAGACTTTTAAGAAGAGCAATTCCTTGCAGTCCACTTTCCTTCGCAACAAGACCTGCAAGCCTGACCTGACTACTTCGAGGTCAAACATGAGTAATGGGCCATAGGTGCTTTCACCAGCCCACCCAATAAGGCTGTTAGGTACCTGTATGTATGTGTGAAAAGGAAAATTTGAACTACAGAGAGACATTTGTGAGGGATGAGAATTTTTGAGAGGGAATTAAGTCCAGAGGACTCAAGTCTATTTGTCAATTCTCAAAAACATTTATTTTTAATAAGGCAATGCACTGGGCTTCCTCTGATTTTACAGCAGCTCCATATTTATGTAAGAACCATTAACCTATTCCTGTTCCATCGCAATATTATGTCTTTTGTTGTGATGTGATGCTGTCAGACATATTTAACGGATCATAATGGACCAGAGGACGTTGCTAATTAGTGCATGTTGCATTTAAAAGGGATTACACGAGAAATCTTTAGCAGCATATCCCCTCAGCTCCTGTAGCACACAACAGGATTTGAGACAACGGTGCCACCTCCTCAGGAGCCAATCAGGAAAGGGATTATCCTTCAAGCACTGGGGGACTCTTTATGAAAACTGAAATGCTTAGGGACACTCACAGGAAAAAGAAAAACATACATTTAGAAGGAACTGGGAATTTAGCACTGTGTGGATGTATCCTGTGGGAATCCAGTGGCCTTTTATTGTAAATCTGTGTTTGGTGTTGAATGTCTTTTATGCTACTTTGCATTCCCTGCAGAAATAGGTGTCCACCTATATTGTTAATGCAATGCTCCTTAAGGCAGCCTTTGCTATAAAAGTTGTTTCCATAAAAGGCTTTGTTATATTAAATGTGTATTTTTATTTCTTGCGCAGTGCCTACACCGAGCCTTTCCCCATGAACCCAGTCTCTGCTGGTCTGTCAGCAGATGAAGACCAGGGTCGTACCTCAGAGGAAGAAGATGGGTCTTTGGAGCAAAGCTATGACCGGCAGGTGAGTGATATGGGTTAGAAAAATGGTTGGTTGGCGTCCGCCAGTTATTTAAGCATGGTTGTTTTATTCTGATATATACTTTGATTATATGTATTTTATTTATTTTTCAATGGCAAGGTACCAAACATATTGATATATTCACAAGTAACCATGATATAAATATATCAATTCAAGCATGCTTAAGCTAAAGGCAAACAGCAATATTGTCCTATAACATAGATAACGTTTTTATTTTACATGTAGAAAGTATAGCAGCTCAAGACCACCAAAAAGGCACTACTTACCTTGACTGTATCTATGGGCATTTCTTTATGATATATAAGTTCCTGCATCAATAAGTTGCAGGTAGTAGCTCCGGAGGACTAGACTTGAGTACCCCTGCACAGCCTCATGTACGTACATACTCTCCAAGCACTTTGCTTTAACAGGTTAGATGGACCTTGAATTCCCCCCTAATGTTTGTACAATGAAGAGCAGACTTTATACAGTAGCTCAAACATGGACCCCACCCATCCTGTTGCTGTCACAACAATAACAACGCTTTGTTCTGATCTTATAAAGTGCATTTCCTTGTTTTCTTTCTCTTCAAAGGAACGTTACAATAAGTTGGACTTAAATTTCCAGAAGGAAGGGGCTGTTTGTTTTGATAATATAAAGGCCACTGTCCCTTTAAGGGGAGAGATTGCCTCTAAAAACAAACATTGGCCACCTTGGTGAAACCGCTGTTGTGCTCTTACTCTTATATTTTGAGACCTAGCAATTAACCTCTAAATCAATTGGCAGTTTTGTCATTGCAGCCGTACATACAGCCTCTCATAAATAATACATAAGAATTTAAACTCGTTCAATTTAGGAAGGCTTTCATATCCATGCTCCAAAGTAATGAAATAATCAGTCTTATTTTGACAGAACAAATCTGGGGAAAGAAAGTCATTTTGGTGTTTTGTCCGCCTGCTTAACAGCTGTGTAGATGTGGCTATTAATGTTTGAGAGGAGTAAGTGCCCACAGAGAGCCTTTAAACATGAACCTTTTTCATTTATCTCCCATCGTTTTCCCTCCCTGTCATGCAGATTGATGGGCGTTCTCGAGCGTTCTACATTGCCAAAGAACTGGTCGACACAGAGAGAATGTGAGTGCCTACGTTTAGGGGTTAACCCAATTACATCAGTTCACCTATTTTTGCTTCTTTTTTTTGCATTTGTTTTTGGTTAACTTTTCATATTTTATCATGTTACAAACCACAGATTTTATACTCAATGATAATTGTTGTAAATCTTTCATTCTTAACTCGAATAATTTTCTGAATTTGCAATTAACATTATAAAAGACATTTGATGGGTAAAAATGTTCTCTCTACAGTTTGTTCATAATTTTTTTAATACTCTTGTATTTGCAGACATGTTAGTGCCCTGAAGCACATTCACGAGGTAAGGAAACCTCTACTTTATCAAAAAATTTGTCATATGGACCTAAAAACAGCTTCTGCTTATGTATTTTCTTAAAAATCTGCTTACTGGATCATATCCTGTGAGTGCGTCACATCCAGTCTCCTTCTTCTTCCCCACCTCCTCCCCTTGGTAATGCTCTGTCCAGCTTTATCAGTGTTGTTGCAGCCATGTTTACTTCCTGTTCTTGAAAAAACTGTCATGTTGTGCTCCAATGTGGTCAGTTGTAGAATGACGTAAGGTCGTCTTACCATGAATCCCTTTTGCATGTGTTTTTGAACAAGGTAGAACCCCCTTTTAAAAACACTGCTCCTGGTAAGTGTCCCTTAAAGGGAGCTGATCATTCTAAAGCACACAATTTAAGTTTGAAGGTGAGATGCAACAAAGTGAGGAAAACCATCCGATACAGACATCTATCTTTTCCATCCTTTCTAGAACGATTCCTGTCAAAACAACATCACATACCTGCAAATCAACAAGGAGAGGGTGACATTTATCTGCTTCATAAAACTGCCTTTTATACTGCAAGTACTACAAGCAGTTGGAATAATTTATGAGGCTTGGTTTGGTCTATTATTCACAGCATTGAGATAGGTAGTATATGTATACACTGATACATCTAATAATGTGATGGCTGATCAAATGGTCAGTATCTGATAGCTTGATTTAAACCAGCATTTCTATTATTCCCATAGAATATCATTTATGAGATATTAGATTTGATTAATTTGAATGTTAACCACAGAAACCCTTCAAATGGCCAGAAACCAGGGGTTTAACCTTTAAGGTCAAACTTACTACCAGTGCTGTTTCCTGCCACAGCACAGGCAGAACCACAGGCCTTGTCTCCATGTGTACTCTGCTAAATTAGGCTTAGATTTAATTAAATTCAGTGAATTTATATAGCGCCAATTCACACCACATCTCTTCTCAAGGCACTTATATAGATAATCCAACAGATTGATTCAAAGTTTCCCATCTAAGGAAAACCAGCTGATTGCATCGACTCATTGACTCAAAAGTAATCCCCCACACAGAGCATGCTTGCAGGGACAGTGGAAAGGAAAACTCCCTTTTAACCAGAAGAAACCTCCAGCAGGACTAGGCTCAGTGTGAGCGGCCATCTGCCAAGGCTGACTGGGGTATAAGGAGACCAACAAAGTTAATGAAGTTTAAAAACAAACCACTGGAATTTGTTTTTCAAGTTTGAAGACATTTCGCTCCCCATAAGGGAAGCTTTCTCAATTCAAAATGTCTGGAGTCAGGTTTGAGTTCCGAGCTTATAGAGTGGCATAAACAAAAGCCTTGTTATAGCTTAGCAAACATGTAAATTGAACCAAAAAAGAAAAAAACACAAAGCCAGGCAGATGAGCTCCGAGCCAGCTCTCATGTCAGAGGATAAAGAGGGCACATACAGTTAGTCACAGTCAGAGAGACAGGACTACACTGAAAAACAGGCCAAGCTCCATCATCCACAAACAAAGGCGTTGATGCCAGCAGTGCAGCTAACACCTCTCTCCAGGATGATGTCACAGCCAAACAGGAACAGACCAGATGAAGCTACTATGATGAGAAAAGGCAGAGAAAGCATATACCGTAGTTAGAGGTTAAAAAAACAAATACTGCAGAATGGAAGAATAGAGATAGCATGATGAAAAGGGGTCTCTATGTCATCCCGCAGCCTAATAAGCCTATAGCAGCACAAATGCAGAAAATAGCTCAGGAACCTAAATATTTTGGATGAGGTATAAGAAATGCAGAAACACTATGTGGTTAAGATTTCATTCATTTTATAGAATATTGTGCAAATACCACAACTCTAATTGAGTAAGTTCACTCATGTTCACTTTAAAAATTTTCATATCTTACATTATAAAGGAATCTGCCAATCGGTTTGTTAGTCATAACATTTTAGTGGAAAAGACCAAGTCATACTTTTAAATTCACCTTTCATCCGAGAAACAATTAGTCTTTTAGATATTATTCTTCTTTGCAAAATGGCTAAGTTTTTTAGGATTCTTGACACAAATTTCCTGCTGGCTTTTGTTCTTAACTTTGACTAGGCCATTTCGGCACATAAATATGCCCTGATCTAAACCCTTCCATTGGAGCCCTTGGCTGTATGACAAAGTGGCTGTCTTAGTGAAAGCGCAGCTTTCTGCAGGTTCTCTCTCTCATATTGCCCTGTCTTTACAGTAGCACCATTCATCTTCTGATCACTTCTGACCAGATTCTCTGCCTCTGCTGTGAAAAAAATCCCCACAGCATAATGCCTAAAATTCCTTGGTTCACAATGTGGATGTTTTTTGGTTGTGTTTTTAAGAGGAGTGCCATATTTATTATGAATCAATAGATTCCTTCTCCTGAGCTTTTGATCTCTGCAGCTCCTCCACAGTTACAAAGGGTGAGGCCTGAATAGAAATAAGTGATATCCAATAAAAGACACCAAGAGAACATGACCAACCATTGACCAACATGATTTAAGACATTAGATGATAATCTGATCAGAAGAAACAAAGGTAGCTGCTTCTCATTTGAAGGTGACCTTGAATGTTTTGCCTTCAGTCTCTTGAATGGCTCCCAGAAATAATTCTGGTTCAGGGTCGTCTTGTTTCTAAAACCTTATGGGGGGGGGGGTTTCAGTTATTAGCCGCTGTTCGATGTCATCTTTAAACTGAAAGTGAGCAATTCAGGTGAGAGGGGTGTGGGGGCCAGCAGCAGTACAGCATGTACAAACACACCGTCTGGGAAAAAAAACAAGGTGCAGCGTTAAGTGAGAGGCACACATGAGCTATTGTTCCATTGTCTGATAACGAATAACAAGAATACAAAGAATTTCCAGACCCTGTCTCCAGATAGGAAGGGAGGCCATGCTCCTCTTCTAAACGACTTTTCCCCGCAACGGCTTCCACATATGAAGCCTGGGCTGTTTCTGTGCTGATCTGTGACCCTTCGACCCTAAAGTGACAGCATCTGAGTGTAACAACTGCTTCACCGAAGGCCTGAGTTACCATAACTGAGTTAATTTTAACAACCTGGATGACAAAGAAAAATAGAACCATGGACTCTCTTTTAGACATCAGCAGACAAAATTTGTGGTAACTCAAACGTGATTGATTGCACAGTTGAATATCTTACTCTGAAGTATCCACTCTCTTGACAATATCTATAAGCAGATCATGACATCTGTTTTATGTCATTGTTTTACACAAAAGTAAAATTGATGAGCCCCTTAGAGACATAAACTTCAGTTCGACTGACAAAGTAGCGTCAGTTTTCCCCACAGCGATGGTCAGAGAGGAAACTAATATTTCTCACATCATGTCACCACTTTGTAATTAATGACCAGCTTTCTGTTTCTTTTTGAGTTCATTTGCTGAGAAGATAGATATCCTCTCTCCTCTTGTTTTTTTTCCCCCTGTCTGCCATAATTCTTCAAATGAGCCTCTTTCGCTTCTCAAACAGCTTCCATTAGTGCCATTTAGATGCTTTATGTTCACTGAATACACTTCAGCTGAGCCAAATTAGCCGTATATCAGCAAATTCTTGGGTTCTTGTCTATAGAGATATAAAAAGTGGGGGTTGAGTACAAAACAGTATTGTATCAGCGAGTTAGGTGATTATGCAGCAACACCTGGTGTGTCGTACAAGCGGGGGCCACCTTTCCTGAATGCCTGAACAGAGCCCAAAGTAATGGGATGATATGAAGGGAGGGTGGCAGGAAGGATGTTTAGGAGGATCTGACCTTCCTTCCATTTTTCTCTTCATTCCCCGTTCCTGTGCACCTTTTATTTCTCCTGCCCTCCCTTCCTCCATCCATCCTCCTCACAAGCACTTCCTTTATTCCCTTGTTTTGCCTTACTGTCCCCCAGCATTGTCTTCTTGAAAAGTCTCTCCTCAGGAATCTTGTTTTTCTGTCTCTCACGCAGGACTTTAGGTCAGCGGTGACTGAGGCAGCAGACGAGGAAGGACAGCCAGTGCTGGACGAGCAGAGGCTGGGGGAGATTCTGAGTGTGCTTCCACAGGTTTACAACCTCCACAGCAGCATCTTGGCTGAGCTGGAGGAGCGCATTGCCAATTGGTAAGAAACATACTGTTAGATGTGGAATCCCTAAATGTTATTGAAAACCAATGATCCCAATAATCTGTAATTTATATATATAGCTATAGATCAGGAGCAGAACAAAAATATTTCAGATGTGCTGGAATTTTCAGAGTTGGTCTTAGAACAGTAGGAAACAGTTGTACAAATACAGTGAAAGCTGAGGTTATTCATATCCTTGTCAGGTTTAGATTTGGTCTGATAGGAAACAAGACAAAAAAAAGTAAAAAGATTTTAAAACAGATAGAGCAACTATAAAAACATTGTTTAAAAATAAGATTTAATTTTTTTTTAAACAGTGTCCTGTCTGGCAATGTGGCAATAAGAATAATTGTCTTTTTGCCAAAAAGAGCCCAACAGATTTACTTTCACAAGTGGAGCAGTAGGGCTATTGCCACAGTGTTCCGCTTGATTTATCAATATAAACTGCTTTATTATATTTATGCAGGGAGTTTTACAGATTATATGGACACTGCAAGTATAAGTAGTATTATTTAATCTGACATGTATACTGTGTTACCTGAAGATAAGAATATGGGCTTTCTGTATGGAAGTGAATCTGTAAGTACCTGGAACCAAGATTACAATTTTTGCTTTTTTTATATTAGGATTATATACACTTTTCAGTGGTTAGTTGAAATAATCTGTATGGGCATTAATTATATATTAAGCTAAACTCAAGTCCAAGCTCTGACTGGACCACTCAAAAATTTTTTTTGTTTCCTGCAACATAAAAAAAATAGTTTAATCTATTCCCTAGATTTGTGGGGGACATTAATACTTTGAGTGTTGTATATGCTCATTTGTCGAGAAATTTGGTATCAAGCGAGTGTTGCCTCGACTATTGCTGCATTCACACAGAGCACGAACCGTTAGTTTCATGTGTGGTAGTAACATGAAGGCATCCAAATTGAAACTTCACTACATTATCAAATCTGCTGGTTGTTGGTTCCACTTTAACATGGAGAGTCCGTGCTGGAGACAATTGAGGACAACGAACCATCCTTTTAGGGCTTAACTAAAGCTTTTTTAGGGAAGCCACCTCCGAAGAACATTCCCCACTTCATCCTTTGTCACCGTTATTTTCACTATCTTCCATTTTTATAAAAGTGCCCTTTCTCTGCCACTTTTCTTCACAGCTAAATCAAATTAGTTTAGATAATTTTTGTTTAATGCTAATATACGGAAGAGTTTAGATTTTTTAAATCCTGCCAATTTCATATTGCCTACTTCCCACTAACGGCGGCTGTCTCACTTCACTGTATTTGCCAAAAACAGCCTTTTGCTTCATTAGAATCTATCTTCACTCTGCCTCCCCGCATTCCTAAAACACCCTCTGCATAGGGATAACTAGGAATTTATTTGCTCTGGATACCAAAGTGGCATTAGGTGTGCTCTCCATCCCCACTCACCTAGTTTCATTTTCACCTTTTGGGAATAATCTATATTCATGGTGTCTAAACTAAATATTAATCTGATACCAATGGTTAATCTGATAACATAGATAAAGTTGATATACTATTATTTGATGGTATCATAGAGACATATAATGTCATCTACTTACTTTTAATAAAACAAAAGAAATCTGTACAGACACCTACTTATAGTTTAAACAACATTTTAATTTCTTATTACAAAAACTGGAAAAAGCTAAATAGCTCAATAAATTGAGTACAGTATATTTTCCTATATGAATTTTTTATATTTATTCAATGTAAAATCTTCACTTGAAAGGACTAATATTTATCATTATTGCTTTTTGTTTCAATACTGACAGTTAGAAATGTAAATAATTGATTAAATGAGGATTTTTGCAGGTTAACTGAAATTTGTTAGGGATTCTGCACAAAGTGTACATTGACAAACTGGCACAGGCAGGCAGAAAAATGACACGAACAGTTTGCTAATCACAGAGAAAATTGCTTGGAGGCTTTAGATTCCTTTAGCATGTAAAAGATTTTATAATTTCACAGCAACCTTTGAAAACCAAAATAATGAAATCCAAGAACTTTCATTGGACTAAAGTATTGACAATGACAGATTATTATGCCATCTTCAATTTCTCCAATGAACCACAGCCACCTCAAAGGCATGTACTGCAGTATATTGTCTGTTTTAAGGACAGTTGTAAATCCAAACAATACACTGACTGGTCTAGTGTCATGTTTTACTCCAATAAATAATGGAACAAATTTTATCATTATTTTCAGCTTTTAGTAAGAAAACCAAATATTTTCATTAGCTTGAGAACTCCATTACACAAACATTAGTTTAGTATAATAATTGTATTTGAATGCTGAAAGCCTGACAAGCAGTAAAAAGGGATTTACAGCTACAGAAATTTTACATGTCACCTCATGGTTTCTTTAATTGTTCTTTAAAGAAGCACCATTAACTCGATTGCTTTTTAATCTTTACTTTAAAGGGAAGAGAACCAGAAGATGGTGGATGTGATCCTGTCCCGTCAGGAGGATTTTCGAGTGTTTGACACTTACATCTCTGAGTATGATCGCAGCATGTCTATACTGGAACAAAGTTGCAGAAACAGCCCAGGTTTTGCCAGCATCGTCAGGCAATTTCAGGTAAAACACTCAGTAGAGATGTTTTACTGACTGGAGTTCCTCCAGTCAGTAAGTTTGTCTTGCTGCTTCCTCTTTATTACATCGCAGATTCATGAGAAGAGGAGTTGTGCGTAAGGTTTTTAATTATCTTCATAAATGATGAGATACATTCATCATCTTTACAGCACCTTTAAATCTCAGGTTCTCATTTTCATTCTTGAAAAAGAAGGTAAATCTTTGTGTGTGTCTCCAGCAGAATGATCTTGTATTGGAAACCATTCAGTGGTTCTTGAATGACATTTTTTGTCCCCCAGCCGCCACTGGGACATAGTGGCATTTCTACTGCCTCTGTAACCCCCTCCCATTCATGGAGCTGACCTTTCTACTGTCATCCTCACATTAGTCTATATTCACTCAGCAATGTACCCATTTGTTTTCTCACTTTAATCTCCTTTTGAAATGACACCATGAGGCTGATAAATTGAGTATGAAGTTTTAAACAGGGGTTATATCTAACATTACAGCCTGTTGCAAATAGTTAAACTAAACTTTATCAATACTTCATATTTGACCATGGATTTCTTTTACTGTGATAACAAGACAAGGAGAAAAAAGCTCCATGCTAAGTAGAGATCCTTAGCTAATATTCATTCTGGACTCCACAAAGCATGCCTGAATAAAAGAGTCATTGAAAAAGGAAAATCATGAGGGGAAAAAAACATAATAAATACTGATTTTATTTGAATATATCCATGTGAAAGTAAGTAGTGATATCTGATGATGACAGCATTTAACATTCTGGGATAAATTAAAGACTGATGTGTGGCAGAAAACCAACGCTTAGCTCCAACTTGTCCTCCAAGGAAATATGATGGTTGCATCATGCAGAACAATCCTTGATGGAAGCCTGTCGAGGTAGCAAAAGACTTCAGACAGGGGATCAGGTTAACTTTCTAGCAGGGGACCAATCCTAAACATGTAGCTGGAACTGAAATGTAATGGTTTTTTAAAATCTGAATAGCTTTAGCTTACCGGTAGTCTATTTTACCTAAAGGCTCTAAGCCAGAGCTACAGTGTATTTGTTCTTTGAGAACCTGCAAAAATCTCCATCTCCAGATTTTTAGAGCTGACAGAAAAATCTGCAAGAAAGGGGATTAAAATTTTGTGTTTTTAACACATTGAAATGTAAAAAACTAAAGGTTATTTAAGTTTTTGTAAGGCATGGCAAAAATGTTAAAACATTGAAACAGCAAATCATGTTGGATGGGAAAAACATTATTTTATAACTGTCATCAAACATGTAAGCTATAAAAGAACATTCTTTGAATCTGAGCTGTTTGTGTTAATGTTTATGTTTAGCAATGAACGTAGCAGCTCTTTGCTGCATTTCTTTGCCTAAATGTATTTAGATTCACCGGCTCCTTGCTATGTGTTGATTCACCCTGAGTGTCTGACATAATGCTTTCAGGCGTTTCTAGTTCATTGAGGAAAGCAAACAGACAAGACGCCAACTGTCTCAGTTCATGAATATTCATCAGCAGCTGTGTCTCCTCAGAGAAACTTAGCTCACTTAGACTTTTGGTCCAAGCGCCACCCCTCTCTACCCTTGCAGCTTGTTTTTTCATTTGAAAACATTTAACTCTTAACACTTAACACTTCACTTCTAGCATCGAGAAACTCATTCTAGGCTTTGATGCTTGTGCTCTTTGGTTGCCTTCTAATTGCTTAAAAAAATATTACTTTGGCTGTTTACTTCTCAGTTTCCACCCGTACAGTAATATGTTAGTGTTATATTATGTCATATCATATCATTGGTTTAAACCTTAGTTTTTGTGTGTGACCTGAACCTGTGCAGAATTAGATGAAGAGAATGAAATAACTCACAAAATATGCATCCACTTAACCCCAGGCTTTTCTGTGAAAATATATCAAAGTCAGACTTAGATGTGGTTTATCTATTTTGAATTACTTTTTGAAATATGTAAACATTCTGTTTACCAATTCCAGCTTTAGTTTTTTTATTTATGTATAATTTGCCAGTTTGTATTATGTTAGTTAAGACACAATCTACATTCTAGATGTGTGCTTGTGTTTCGATATACATACCTTTGCTTATTTCATACAAGGTATACAGTTAGTAATTAGAGCTTTTTTAAGTACATTTATTTGTATAAAATGATCTTCAGTAGTAGTTGCTCAAACTGCAAAAATGGCCTCAGTTATGATAAAGAGGTGATCATTTAAGGGGAACCAAGATGACTACAAAAAGGATTATAAACAACTTCATTTCAGTTAAAATGGACTGCACATGATCGCTGTCTTCTTTTCTATTTGCTCTAGATCAGAGGTTCCTAAAGTTAGGGTCAGGGTGTCTTGGGGGAGTGAGGGGGCCGTGAGATGATTTTCACAATATTTATGATGTGATCCCTGAGGAAATGGACGACAAAAATGTGTAATTTAATAATAAGTAAATCTCCCATTGATAGATATAACATAATAGATGTAACATTTTTTTCATTTATCTAAAACTGCATATCTAAAATATGAACATTGAATATGCAAATACATTATAAAATCCTCAATTGAATAATTCAATTTTCTGTTAAATAATCAAAACTACAATTACAATTTAGAATTAAATAATTTTATGTCAATAAAATTAAGATTATTTATTCTATATTTACAAATGAATCAAGAGTTAAATACCTATATATTTAGAGGAGTTGCCAATCTGCGTCACTGTTATTTTGGGATCACAGGCGAAAATGTTTGAATGCATCCGCTTTAAATACACCTCAGCACTATTCATCTGTCATTGGATTCAGTTCATATGGTTGAACCCCTTGCAACTCAAGTGCAGCTTGAATGGTTCTGAATTTATGAGAAAAGCTGCTAAAAAGTCACTACGCCTGCTTATCTGCTTGGTTTGTTCATATTTCTCATGTGATGTAGCTGGACACACAAAAAACAACAGCTTCACCCATAGAATGATGTTTTAAAACATCGTAACATCCTGAAAGGCAAATATGCTCATTGTCCAAATGGACCATTCAGACATTTATGACCCTTTGTGGATTTCCTGTTTTGTTTTTCTCCTGACCTACAGATTCTGATCTTTACTATTTCCGATTTCTGTCTTCTAAGGTTATTAACAAATAAACAAGAAATAATGAGCTGTAGTAATTTCAACAGATTATTAGAATCCAACAGAAAGTAACAAACTTACAAGATCTTAGCCACTTACACTTCAGAGCATTTATTCCTAACCTTGATTAGTTTTAGCAAACTCTAAACCTGAAATTAACAGCTCTGTTGTTATAGTCTGTGTACATTTATTTTTATTAAAATATCTACACCACTTTGTATTCTCTTCAAGTATTTTAACATGTATATCCCGATGTTTGTGTCCACTTAAAGAAATGTCAGACACCCTTTTGGCTCTGTTTTAAGTCTCCAACCCTTACAGTTTTCAGCACCTTATTTGTGTGCTTACCTTTTCCTGCTACAAGCTAAAGTCCTGCAGTGTAAGTGGTAGTAATTTCATTGTAGATGTGGTGATGACAGTGATGAAGTAGCCACAGTCCCTGATCCGATCAGAGCTCAACCCCTACCGGATTAAAGCCCCCCTCTCAGCAGCCAGTTGCTTGTTTACTGCGCCATTCACAAACATTGGTCAGAACAGTGTTTGCGGTATGTGTGAGCGTATTCGTGCCCTTGCCCATATGTTCCTGATTGTTTCTGCCGGGGCATAGCCACACACAGATTGTTTTGATCCTCTTGAACTAGGTTTATGAAATCCCTTCCCGAGGCTCCTCCGCTTAGATTTATATTCATGCCGTAGCCCAGTGTGTGCGAGGAGCCTGGGAGGAGAGCAGGAGGCTGTGCAGCAGGTGGACAGAGAGCGATGGAGGGAGAGAGCAATGGAGTGAATTCCTTGTAAAGGCAGCTGGGCAATGAGGCAGACAGAAGCTAATTAGAGAAGCAGCCTCCTTTACAACTCCCCAATTAGATCAGCTGTGTGTATGTAGGTGTGTGTGTGTACTCGCAGCATATCAGCTAGCCATAACAGAGGCTGTGAGATGTGTTTTTGAGCGTATGCCTTTGTGCATGAGTTTATCTGTCAGCACAAGGTGTCCAGCTCCTTTTTCTCTCCTTCATTTGGTTTGTTCACCAACAAGCTAATTACCATCTCTGGAACAACACTTCCTCTGAACAAGTGTCAATTGGATGACAATTTAGAAGTGACACTCAGGGCGAGAGGATGTTCTGAAAACAAGTGGGTTTGATAATGAGGAGCTGTTCTACTGTGTGGATCCAGACTCCAGCTCTTGGTTTAAAAAAAAGAAAGGGAGTTTATTTAAGGCGCAACACATCCCTTCTTCTCACAGAGTTGTTCTGTGTTATTTTATCACCAGCTCAATCTCTGTGTGAGTCTGTATATGTGCCAAAGTGTGAAGGGTTCCATCATTGACACTTTTTTATATATGAGGTGTGTCTGTGTGTGTGAGTTTGTGTGTGTGTGTGTGTGTGGAGTGTAAATAAAGATGAACAAGCTGTTTTCCCGCAGGGTGCTATCTCTGCCTGTCTAATGAAGGATAGGACTTCATTGGATTAGAAAAGATGGTGTGTATGTGTGTTTGCATGCACCCCCAGAACCCTGCTGGTCCTGAACCTCTCAGGGCATAAATACCTGTCACAGGCAATTAGATCCTGATTGATTTTTCCAGTGCTCTCTTTGATAGTTCCCCCTCTTTGTCCTTTCTCACCTGCAAATGACTCCACGGAGCTGAAGAATAGGGCTGTTCGGTGGGTTTTTTTGTGTCTGAAGGTCACCCTGACAGACATTTCCCTTCGGTCGCTGATGACCTTGTCTAACAGCAAAGAGTTAAAACAGTGACCCACATAGACACAGAGATGGGGGCTTTCTGGTTGTAACATGGGTATAACTTTAGTTTCTTTGAAGTGATACAATTTTTTCGTTTGTTTTTGCAGAGTATATATATATATATATATATATATATATGACAAAATGAATTGTGTTGTTGGCCATTTTAATCTGTAATAAAGCTTTTTATTTCAGGTTTTCAAACCGATATTTAGGAATGTACTTCTTAAGTTCTTTAACAATCTTATTTGTATACTTGTGTTTTATTGTGCAGGCTAAGGGTCCAGAAGAACCTGACGTCCCAATGAAACACCAGCTGCTCCAGGTTATCGTGAGAGTTCTTCAGTATCGAATGCTTCTTACCGGTAATGGCACAGAGACTCTTTAGATCTTTAAAGTGAGATGAAAATGACAGAAAATGCAGTATCATCTCCACAAATGTAAATGTTAAACTATAAATATATGTCATAGAAGGTTACTGAAATTGCAAAATAGTAAAATTCAAAAGTGTGAAAATATGCCAGTGCCTTAAAAAGCTATTTGTTGCAACAGACCAACAAATAACCTGTGAGACTAAATAAAGAATTCATAGAGACATCTTATTAAATAATATCTTCTGGGTTACAGATTAAATTTGTTATTTTTTTAAAAATAATCAGGCTAAATCAAGAAAAAATTTAATTCATTAAAAATGGGGTTTTATGAAGGCAAAAACAGCCATCCAAACCAAAGCTCTCACAACAGGTTATCCCTCTTTTAGGGTCCATCACGTTAACACCACCATGTTTTTAATTTGGGTATATTTTATTTTGCAAATTCTGTTTCCCCTTGGATGAAAAAGGACAACCAGATTGGTTTGTCTCATAGTCAGCAGATGATCAGTCATGGATAGCTTAAAATTACCATCTGCTAAACCTAAAGATTTAGTCATATATTCAAAAATAGGAACTAACAGCCTTGCATCAGACATTATCAGTGAACCATGTCTAGTAATAATCTGATTTCTGTGCTAAAAGGACAGCACAGCTGCTGCAGAGAGCCACAACAAGGCTGCTGACAAGGAGCAGAAAACAAACTCACATCGCACCATTTTTAAAGTCTTTGGATTGACTACCTGTCTGTTTTAGAGCTGATTATTATTAAAAACTCGTGATGTTCTTATTGGGTTTTTTTTGTTGTTGTTGTTGTTGTTGTTGAACAGTCTTTCCATACCCCCTCAGCTCTTCTGGAAAATCTTCTCTTAAAGATTAAAGACGTATTTTCTTATTGTGGCCCTCAGCTAGCTTTGTTGTTGATAGTTTCTTATTACCTTTAGTTTCTTATTTTATATCAGATTTCAATATGTGTCATATATACAAATTCATATAAAAGATTTAGATTCTTATTTTCTTAATAAAGCCGATCATTATTTGTAAAGCATCTTTTTTCATTTTAGGTAATTAATGTTTGATATTAAAATCTAAAAGATTTAAGAGAAAAAATTAAAAATGCTTTTTTCAGGGTACTGGAAAGATATTTTTTTTTTAGCAATTCAACAAGAAGAAAAAGTTTTATTCATAATTTGATCATAATTAATGAATCAGTAATACTTAACAGTCATCTGAGGTGATGACAGTTGGAAAGAAACACTTCAGAAGTTGCCATGATTTTTTTAGTGCAAGTGTTGAATTTGATTTGGTGATTCTGCTTTTTCCAGATTATTTGAACAACCTCTCTCCTGATTCAAAAGAATACGAGGACACTCAAGGTAATCTTACCTTCCTCTGAGATATTTTCATTATCAATCTGAGGTTAGGAAGTCGCTGTTAAGCAGCCGTTTGGCCCAGCCCTCTGTGCTAAGTGGAATGCTTTAACTCACACAGCTTTTGTTTCCTTTGCAGCTGCTCTGGTGATAGTGTCTGAGGTGGCAGACCAGGCCAATGACAACCTAAAGCAAGGGGTGGGTTCCTCAACTTGGATTCATAGTCTATGATGCCTTGGTTTCAAAATGTCTCTAAATCCAGCCTCAAAGCATTTCTGGTAATTTGTCTTCTGAGTGATAAGCCAGACTGTGGAAGGCCTCTTTTAGGCCATTAACTTAAGGGTGTGAGGAAAGTTTAGGTCATCAAAGAGGCCCTGATGTGACATAACAAAAAGGCAGTGAGAGGCTGGACATGACTTATGGTTCTTCTTAAGCATTAAGCATTCATGGAGAAAATGAACAAACACTTCCCCATAGTCCTCCTGGTCTTTGCCTTGTTGGGCTCCCCTGTGTCTCTTTAGGTTCCCTCCTCTGTTTATCACACTTTTTTCCTCCTCCACACACACTGACTGACACAGACACACACAGTGTGAAGGACAGGGGAAACACTGGGTCCTTCTATCTTTTCCTCTCCATTCACTTTTCACTATCACCTCCCTTTCCGCCTCCCACACTTTCATTCACAAATAAAGAGGGATGGCTTGGTCCTCTGTCTTCAGCTCCATGCATCATTAAATAATCTTTCTCTGTGTTTTATCCTCCTTTCTCTCGCAGGAGAACCTGCTGCGTCTTGTCCACATAGAGTACAGCGTGAAGGGGAAGAGGGACCTCCTGAAGCCTGGAAGGGTGGGAATGATAAAGTGACACGTTTATAGATTTAGCAAAAACATAACAGAAAACTGAGTGCTAGATCTGAAGAAAAGCTTTAATATTGTTTTTTTTTTGGGCAGATATTCGTCAAAGAGGGGACACTCATGAAGGTCTCGAGGAAGAGCAGGCAGCCAAGACACCTTTTTCTGGTAATAGTTCTGCCCACTTTAATTTTACGCCCAGATTATATTACTTTTACTGACTCACATTTCCATGTTTCCATACACTATGTTACTAATACACTTTTTTTTTTTATCTAGTAAGCTGTAATCAGGGACTAAAGTTAACTTTTTTGGCTACCAGCCACTTTTTAATACCAACAGAAGGTTTTTACGCCTAAATTAAAAGTGGACGACTCAGAAAATGCTCTAGAATGGTCCTTGGTATTCTACAGAGCACACATTAAAGTGTTGTGGGGTTGTTAACCAACTTAATCTCATGTATGACTAGATCTACATAATGTCAAATGTGTCTAACCTTGTGTGATTAACACTTAGAATAGAACAGAAATACAAACAGCCAATTATCTCATTTTTCACTTAACGCCCAGCTGTGATTCTAATGAACCGTGTAACTGCATCCAGGTTTTTAACTTCGTACATATAATTGTATTTTCCTTTTCAACACAAGTCTAATATTTTTGATTGAATAACATTTAAATAAACCAAAATAACAATCATCCATCAATTTTCCGTCATGCTTATCTCTGCTGGGGTTGTAAATGGTGCTGGTGCTGCAGGCTGTCAATGAGCGAGAGGCGGGGTACACCCTGGACAGGCCGCCAGTCTATCACAGGGCAACACAGAAACAAACAGGACAAACAACCATTCATGCACACACTCACACCTAATGGGCTGGTTATACTCCCCGCAGCAGTGTCGCAGTGAGCTTGACGCAGACATTTTTTGATTTATGCTCAATTCGCTGTGGGTCTAGATGCGGCCGAGGCGGTGAGGAAGTGGGGCCAAATTTGTCCGACGACCGAGGGACATGAGGGCGAAAAAGAGCGGGGATCCAGGTGGAAAAAAGGTCCCAGCCTTCTTGCGCACCTCACTCTTCTAGCTGATCCAACTTCACGAGTCGTTTTCCACAATTGCAGTCATAAAAACAAAACAAGTCGGACTCCTTTCTGCGGCACTGTCTGCGGTCACATACAATTTGGGAGAGGTGCAGCAGAGTGTCTGCGGGGGGGGCAGGGACCTCTTTTTGTTCACTGCGACACACGCAGATGACCTAGTTTCGAAGTATAAATCAGCCTTAAGGAGAATTTAGAGAACCCAATTAACCTAACAGTCATGTTTTGGGGCTGTGGGAGGAAGCCGGAGTACCCAGAGAGAACCCACGCATGCAAAGAGAGAACATTAACATTAAAACTCCATGCAGGAATCTGACCCGGAACTTTCTTGCGGCAAAGCGGCTGTGCTACCCACTCCACCTCTGTGCAGCCACACAATAACAATCATAGCAACAGATATGTTATAAACAGATTTCAAATTATATTTCACTGTAATGACAAGGTCAGGCTACAAATGAAAAAGAGGAGCGGTAGGAGGAGCAGACTCACCTCTGCTTACTCCACTTCCAGGGTTTTCCACAAGATCTATTCTGATCTTGCCTTCTCTGAACCTTACATACGGCAATCCAGGCAGTAAATTGTGACACCAGAAAGTCGCAAACCTCGCCATCCCTTACCACTTTGTATATAAACATCTTTTTGTAATCTCTTTTGAATCCTCGTCCTTCTCTTCTGTCTTTTGGTTGCTTACAGCCTGCGGCCTCTTCATGCCAGCTATATATTGCCACATTTTGCTTAAAAAAATCCAAGAAAAGGCTACATGATTGGTTAACTATACAACACTGGCCCAGTGTTGTGTGTTTTCTTATTGGCTACCTGCCAACATGCAGGTAGATAAACACTTTCACATGTCAATCACTACAGTTACCTGCATTTGATGTTTGAGCAGCTGTCAATTTCATACCCTGGTTATATTACTAGTCACACCATTTGAAATATCTCACATTCTTTTCTTTTAAAACCTCAGACTACATTATATATTTGTGGGAGTTTAACTTTACCCTGAAAGTTGTTAAAAAGCCAGCAACAACAAAAACTGATTTCTACAAATGGTAAACTTAAAATTAGCCTGGGTGCCATGCCGAACTTAGTCCCGCCCACAACGTTTGAGATCGGGAAGTTCGGTCTGGCAT